CCACCGTGCGGGTGGAGGGAAGCACCTATTGCGCACCAGAGCGGGAAAACTGAATCAGGAGGATCTGTGTAAAAGAGGGTCTGTGCTGGCTTTTTGGGTAATAGGGAAGGTTAGTCAGAGTGGACTGACAAATAGTCCAAGGATCTCAAGAAGCTGGATCTACAGGAAGGGACCCAGAGGGCCAGACCAGGGGGCTTTAGGAAAGACAACCATACCTGCACTAGCAGTTGGAGGCTGGCACTTCGAGGGGGGCTGCCTTGGTCGTGAGCGCTCAGAGTTAGCACATAGTGGGGCCGCTCTGCTCTAATCAGGGATGCTGCAGTGTGCAGCTCCCCGGTGTGAGGATGCAGAGAGAAGAGCTCCGAGCCAGGACCTGGGGACAAGCAGAGGAATCATGAGGTTTGGGCAACTAGAGCAAGGCAGGCCATGAAAGCCCTGATCACTCCCAGGCTCCCTCCTCCCTGCCTTCATACCAGTTAGGGTGTACAGGATGGTTCCATTCTCCCCCTCATCTGGATCTTTGGCCTGCAGAGTAGTCACCAGTGTCCCTGGAGGCACACGGTCTGGTACCTGTGGGAACACAACTCACCTACAGTTGTCTCCTTCCAATGCTTAAAATAGCCCAGAATTGGTTTTCATTCACCTATGCATAGGCAGAACTGTCTTCCTTTTGTCTTACACCTGTTCTAGGAGGTAGTCTCTCTTACCTGTACTCACAGCTCAATGGGGAGACCCCTTCCCATCTCTTACACCTCTTCAGAGTATGTTCCTGACACTTTACTCACCTGTATAGGGAGGCCCCCGCCAGCAGCCCCTGAAGCTTGCAGGAAGGTGGGACTGTTGTCATTGAGGTCCAGCACTGCAATATGCACAGTGCCTGTGGTGCTGCGAGGTGGACTCCCTGAATCCTGCACATGCACCAGGAGCTGGAAGCTGCTCTGATGCTCCCGGTCCAGGCTTTGAAGTGTAGTTACTTCTCCTGGAAGTGAAGATGGAGATTTGGGATGGGATGTTTAAGGATTCAGAGCCTGGGAACTACAGATAAGGTGTGGCTGGGATGTGGGCAAGTGCCAGGGCCAAACTCCAGGCTGAATCCTGATGCTTATAGTCAAGATCCAGGCTGGGGATCTTGTCTGGGTATTTGCCAGTCTAGAGATGACGCTACAGTGTCTCAGTGCTTACCAGTCTGGGGGTGGATGCGAAAGGCCTTGCTGTCTTCTGACAGCTGTCGAAGGCTGTAGGTCAGACGTCCATTGGGTCCTGAATCTCTGTCAGTGGCAAAGACTCGGCCTACACTGGTCCCTGGGGGTTGATTCTCTGCTACAGCCAGGAAGGTGGGCTCTTCAGACAAGCGGGGACTATGGTCATTTTGGTTGAGGATGCTGACCCTCACAGTGGCTGTGCCTGTCTGTTGCCCCAATTCAGCTCTGGAACCAGATACCGCCATCACCTTCAATGTGTACAACTCTTGGGATTCACGGTCCAGTGCTGCCCGTACCCATAGCCACCCACTCTGTGGCTCCAGGCCAAAGGGGTTACTGGCTCCATCTGCTGCAAGATGATAAGTAACAGGGCTCCCATCTGGTGCCTGAGCCTGCACTTGCAAGATCTGAGTTCCAGTGGTAGTGCTTGAGGGCAAATCTACACGGTAGGTAGGGCTGTCAAACCGTGGAGCCAGTCCATGGATTCCCAAGTCCTGTATTACCACACGAAGTCGAAAGTGGCTGGTGCGTGGTGGGGAGCCTCCATCCCGGGCCTCCACCTCCAACTCATAGGCTGGACCCCCTGGAGGTCCCAGAGGTCCCATAAGCCGGATGTGGCCTGTGATAGGGTCCACAGTGAACATTCCATCACCTCCTGCAAGTAGACTAAAGGTGACTTGACTGTTAGCACCTGAGTCAGGGTCTAGAGCACGCAGTGTATAGATGGGAGTCCCTGGAGAGGTGTTTTGTGGCAGTAATACGGTGTCTTCAGGGGCAGGGAAGGCAGGAGAGTTGTCATTCACATCATCCAGCAGCACACGGACCCGAGCCACAGCAAAAGCTGGAGGGATTCCACTGCCTGCTCGAATTTCTAGCTCTAGGACAGGTCCCAGAAGCTCCCGGTCCAGAGGGCGAATTGTTTTTAAAAGCCCTGAGGGTGACTCGAGGGAGAAGAGTCCTTGGGGGTCCCCACCTGATAGGGTGAGGGCCACAGGCCCTAAACGACCTAGGGAGAAAGACAGAAACATCAGGAAAGAGGTAAAGGTCACGTCTTAATCCCAAGAAGGACAGTCTCCACGTTTGTGCTTTACAGAGTATTAGGAAAGGAGAAGGTGTTGGCAGGGAAATTGGTTGGCATTAGGGTGGTATTCATGTGCCATACTGTTTTGTCTTAGAGCTCCCAGTGGTATGCTGCTCTAGGATCACACTGAGATGGGACTGAAAGACTGTACTGGGATATCTGATACCTGGTGGGTTGTGTGCCTGTACTATGCCCACACTGGTGCCTGGTGCCACATCCTCTGGCACTGAAAAAACATACTGTAGTTGTTCAAATATAGGTGGTGTGGGGGTTCCAGGCACAATGCTGATGTTGACTCGGGCAATGGGTTCTGCTTGCAGGCCACCTCCATCCTGAGCCCCAATCTCCAGCTGCACCACAGAATTAGCCCGTCTGGCCAAGGGCCAGGCTACTGTCAACAGCCCTGGAGAAGGAAGAGAAGCAAAAGTAGATGAGGGAAAGAATAGGGAAAGAGGAGACAATATATTATTTAGGCAGGTGAGGAGGAGGAGTTGATAGCAGGTCCTGGTGATGGGAGGATCCTCACCTGAGTGTGCATCCAATGCAAAGAGTGGGGGACTATTGCCAGCCAGGATGTGGTAGGAGAGCTGCCCATGGGGTCCCTGGTCAGGGTCATGGGCATGCACCCTCAGCACAGCTGTGCCTGGTGTACTCTGAGCACTCAGACTGGCAGCATACTCCCGTGGATAAAACTGAGGTGGGTTGTCGTTCTCATCAGCCACAAACACCTTCACATACACTATGGACTTGAGGCCTCCCTGGTGGAATATGTAACCATCGGTCAGTAGGCTTGTCTAGCCTTGGTGAGAACACTACCCTAATATCTCTGGCCAAGGTCCATTTACTTACCCCATCGATAGCTGTCACTGTGAAGTCAAAGCTTGAAGGTCCCTGGTCACGGTCCAAGGTCCGGGTAGTACATACATCACCACTGTGGGCATCAATACGGAATGGGGGAGATCCAGAAGCTCCAATCCCAGCACCCAAGGAATAGGAGAGGAGGCCAAATGAACCGCTATCAGCATCTGTGGCTGTCACCTGGGGAGAAGCTGGGGTAAGTGATGCCACCTTTTGCTGGTCAGAAAAGTCGGAGCTAAATGGAGTTTAGAAGGCACTGCTGGAGCCCAAAGACCCTGGATGATGCACACACAGAGGACTAGAATGTGACCAAACCCAAACCCAGGCCAGATCCCACCCCTTAGGTTCCTGGGAGGCTCTGGTTACAATTGTTTTTTGTTAAATGGCAAATAAGACCCTGCCAAGGCTGAACCTTGGAAACAGCTCTTTACTGTGGCTGTGGGCCCAGATATCCCAGGAGACAGACTTTCTTCTGCATGAATCCCTGTGGGCAGCAGCACAGCTGCAGTCATCAATATGTAACCTTGTTTGATGTGTGCTTGAAGGCACTTTAATATATAGTGTTGATTCATTAGCATTGACTTCACAGACACAATACAGTAAAGATGCAGCCATGGTATACTTAGATACTATAACTTCTGTCTGATCAAAGCTTATCAAATGCATGTATTATTATTATTATTATTATTTTATTATTATTAATTTTATTATTATTTTGGTTTTTTGAGACAGGGTTTCTCTGTGTAGCTTTGGAGGCTGTCCTGAAACTCACTCTGTAGACCAGGCTGGCCTAGAATTCACAGAGATCCGCCAGCCTTTGCCTGCTAAGTGCTGGGATTAAAGGCATGCCACCACTGCCCTGCACATATATTTTATTCTAAAAGGCATATCACAGCCTTCTACTCACTAGGCAGAACTGTACTGTTCTACTTGGAGGTTGTTTTAAACAGCAAAATCACTAATAGAAAGCACAAAAACAATAAAATGTGTAACCAAAACAGAGCTCAGAAAGGACACTTGGTCACAGGAGAGCTGAGACAAGAAGCAAAATGTCACTTGTTTCAACCTCAAGCTGGGAACCTACATATTGGGTGACTTATCTCTGCATGTGCCTTGGGTTACAAATAAATTTTACAAAGAGATGAATCTGCATATAATAAAGACCAGCTACAAAGTACAGTACCCAGGGCAGCAACTCTAATTCCAGAGGACTCCAGGAAACTACTATCCTCATCAAGCAGAGAATTGGTTGATAAATAGTTACAAGATTGATATTTTAAGTTTAATCTTAATGTGCATGGAGTCTTGTTTTTGTTTTTGTTTGTTTTGTTTTGGTTTGGTTTTTTTGAGACAGGGTTTCTCTGTGTAGCTTTGGAGCCTATCCTGGCACTTGCTCTGAAGACCAGGCTGGACTCGAATTCACAGAGATCTGCCTGCCTCTGCCTCTGCCTCCCTAGTTCTGGGATTAAAGGCGTGTGCCACCAACGCCCAGCTCTTGTTTTGTTTAGAGATGGGGATCTACCTCACCATGCAGCTCAGATTGGCCTTAAATTCATGATCCTCCTGTCTCACCCTCCTAAGTGCTAGGATTGCAAGTGTGCCACCAATCCCAGTTTATCTGTTTAATCTTTACTTTAGTGTTCATTACACACTTGAATCCGATCACTGCAGGGTCTGCTCTGTGGTTTCTGGATGCCGCTCATGTATGTTAGCCTAGGATAGGGCCAGGTACACAGAACATGCTCTGTGCATATTTGTACATTGAGGGAAGAGGCTTCTGATCACCCTGCTTTGTAACAAAACTTTCTTTCACACTCAGTTTTAGACATTGGGTGCACACTAGGCCCTCCATAGTGGGTTAGCTGGTGGCTGACTGCTGCAGGCTGTGACAAAGTGCTCTTTGTGGGTAGAGAGACCTCAGGGGTCATGATATGCTGCAAGAGGAAGCTTCAGAGTTCCCCTTCTCAGCCAGAAAATGTGCTCAGAAAGAAAGCTGGCCAAGGTTTTCTGATTGTTGCCCAGGCTCTTGACAGAAATGGTCTGTGCCATTGTTTATCCTCCCGAGAGACATTAAGACCCTGCCATGGCCGAACCCTGGAAACAGCTCCTGCTCCAGCTCTTTACCGTGGCTGTGGGCCCGGATATCCCAGGAGACGGACTTCCCCCTTGCATCTATCCCCACAGACAGCAGCACAGCTGCAGCTGCCTTCAGGAGCTGTTAAACACCTCTGCCCTCTGACTCTGTTGCAGGAAGAAAGCAATAAACAGTGGTAAGGGGAAGTTGTCAGGAAGTGACCCCCCAAAAGGCTCAGGGGCCTTTGACTGGAAATGACCAAGGCAGGAGTGAATTTCCTGACCCCCCCTGCTCAGAGGTTTCTCTGTAAATGCAGACTGTTTTCAGCAGGTTCTCAGCTCTTTCTCCCATGCTGCCTCAATGCTTTTAGCAGCCTCATGCTTCTCCTCTTATCTACACTTGGCCCCTGGCTCTCATCAGATGCACCATTTCAAGGACAAAAGAAAGACCCTTTTCTACCAATTCTAACATTCCTACTAGACTCTGAACTTGTTGTATCTTCCCATCCTGACACCCTGCCTGTGTACGTCCCCTGCTCTGAGTTCTCGCTACTATCATAAACTGCTTTTCCTCCTACTGGTTCAGCCTCACCACCTGCCCTTCTCCACCTACTGTACTCTGACTGCTTTTATTCATCCTGTTCCCTGGACTCTTTCCTTGGCCTTTTTTCACCCTACAGGCCTCTTTCACTTTCCCAGCCTCAGGAACCATCTCTAGTAAGCTTTAAGCTTAGGGGACCATTCCCCTAGGCTGAAAACTTGTACATCCAGATGCCTGTTCAACATCTCCACCTGGATGTCCCACAGTGATCTTAAATCTAAACTGTCCAATATTAAACCCATGATCCTTTCAAACTTGCTGACTCTTCCATCCACTCATTCGAGCCAGAAGTTAATTCTTCCCTTTCCCTTGCCTGGTATATCAATCAGTCAGGGATTCAATAAGTCTTCATTATTGCCCTTATAGTGAATCATTTTCCTTTGGACTATTCTGACTCCTTTCTTATGGGTGTCTGACCCTCCAATCCATATTCTAAATTAAGGGTTCTCAACCTTGATAATATGACAATTTAGGTCAGATACTTTTTTAAGTCTGGAAGCTATTGTATGCTTTATATCGTGGCTAACAGCATCCTGGGCCTCTGCCCCACTGGATACTGGGAGCATCTCATCACTTACAACAATTCAAACTGTCTAACTATTGCTAAATGTCTCCTCTGGAAGGTAAAACTGCCTCCAGCTGTAAACTACTAGCCTATACTAACAGACAGTTGAGAGACAAATTTGATCATTTTTCTCCTGTACTTAAAAAAAAAAAGCTTCAATATTTTACATAGGAAAAACAAATTCCTTGGATTGATGAGGGCTCTTCACTGGCTCACCTTTCCACATAGTCTCATCTTCTCATCTCACATCTCAAGGTCCAGCAATACTGAACGACTAGGAGCCCCTTAAACAAGTCAGGTTCTCTCAGTCCTCTGCAGGTGTCACCTACCTTGGAGCCTTTCACCTCTCTGATTGCCCTATAAAGTCCCTTTTATTCTTTAGGTTTCAACTCAAAAGTCCCCGTGCTTTGGGAAACCATCCATACTGCCTATTACCCCATCATGGAAGTTTTCTTATTGCAGTAAGCTGTCTCTTTGCCAATTAAGACTTATTCAGTTTGAGTTTATTCATTACTATATTCTGTACCCCTAATACAGTGACTGGCATATGTGGTGGACATTTAATAAATGTACATTGAATAAATCAAGTGCTAAGACTTTGTAACAGTTATGAACTCCCAGTGGGCATTTTTATCTTTCCTTCATTGTTTCTAAGAGCAAAAACTCCAGGAAACCACCTTGAAAGTTGATCTTGTGCTTCAGGAACAAGCAGGGAGAGGAAAACTTTGGAAGCAATAATCCACTAGTCCTGGCCAAAAGAGTATACACATGCAAGAGTGGGTGGTGGGAGCCAGACAGCAGCAAGCAGGCAAACATCCAGGATCTGGCCAGATGGCAAGAGATCAGCCAGACCTAGGCACTAGCCTGGAAGTCTGGGCCAGCAGACAGCCCCTGAGAAGATACTTGGGTTGGCTATACATCAAGCACTGGTCTCCTAAGAGGCCTCCCTGCCCTCAGTCTTCTCACTTGCAGCTATACTTCATGGTGTGGCCAAAGCCGTCTTTCCAAAAGACATGTTGTCCTTCTTATGATTTTTAACAAAAAGTCAAAGCCTGCAATCTACCCTGTTAACTAATTTGTCTTTTTTTCCCCAACAAATCTTTTTCATCTGTATAACTGAGACCAGCCTGAACAGTATAGTCTTAACATCATGGAGGTTATTGGCTTTCTGTAGGCCAGGGTCGGAGTCCACATCTCACACAGTATTCATTTAGAAAAGTATCATTAGTTCTTCCGGGTCCCTCCTCTGGACTCCCAAAGCATTTCATTTCGTTACTGGTGTGTCTCCCTGTCTAGCCTGTGTCCTGCCTGAGGACAGGAATCTCTTTTCCTTGTTCTCTGCTCTGAACACATTGCTAGGCTTACAGTGCTCAGGAGTGACTTATCACTCACACATTGATCCATCTATCCCTCACCCTTAAAGCCAGTTAGCTACTTTAAAACAAAAAGCAAACATTTAATCCAATCATGCTCTTCCTGGCTCAAACTGCAATGATCTCCTTTATTTTCCAAGTAAAGTCCTAACACATGGTGGCCAAAGATTTCTGCAACATGGCCTCAGACTGCATCCTTAGGTTCATGCCCCCTCCCTTCCCTGAGAGGCCTTCTTTCTCTGCACACAAGGATCTTACTAGATTGTTCCTATTATTTCTCATCCTTGTCCTTGAGTCCATGTGTCTCATCAAGGCTTCCGTGCACGGGAAGGGATGGAGATTTCTTCCAGCAGAGCTTAACATTGGACTAAGCACAGAGGGCAACATAAATGCCAACCTATCCCTTGGGAAATAAGAGCCATATGGAAACTCCATCTCTGCAGCTTTGCAACTCTGCAGAACATCTCCTAAAACTACATGACACTTTTTTTTTTCCACATCCCATCTTAATTTCCTCAACTGCTCTTGTGCCCTACCCTCATCTTCTCATTACACCATCGCTTTGCAACTCTGCAGAACATCTCCTAAAACTACATGACACTTTTTTTTCCACATCCCATCTTAATTTCCTCAACTGCCAAGATTACTGGTCTCAGCTCTTGTGCCCTACCCTCATCTTCTCATTACACCATTTGCACAGACTTAGATCTCAGAGAACAGGACCAAACCCTCTGGCTTTAGTCACTGTCAACAGTTGCAAAGATAGGCTCCTGCTCTGAAGTCCTCTATGGCCCTCAGACAAACTCTTGCCCACAGTTTGTGGGCAGAGCCTACCCACCTGCAAGAAACAGGTTCCAGGCTGGGTACCTTCAGGCAGTGAGGCATTATAGAAAGTCCTCTGGAACTGGGGCTCATTGTCATTCACATCTTGTAAGGCCACACTAACTGTGGCAGAGGAGACTAAAGGGGGCAGGCCCCCGTCCGTAGCCAGTACAATAAGCTGTGGCTGAGGTTCTAGTTCATAGTCCAGTGTGGCAGCTGTGGTGATGATGCCTGAGGTGGGATCAATGGAGAACCAGTGAGTGTGAGTGCCAGGAGCCAAACTATAGGTGACCTGACCATTGGTACCTTGGTCAGGGTCTTGGGCAGTCACCCGTACCACGAAGCTGCCAGGCAATGCAACTTCAGGCAGAGGTTCAGGTCGGTAGAGTTGGCGGTCAAAAGCAGGCGCATTGTCATTGACATCAGTGACATGTAGCACAAAGGCAGCTTCGGCCCGTAGTGGGGGTGAGCCTGAGTCCGTGGCTGTAACCCGTAAGTTATAAACATCCCTCTCCTCCCTGTCCAGCCTCCGAGCCACACACACCAGGTAGATGACACTGTCTTGGGTACTTAGGGCAAAGTGGCCCTCTCCACCCTCCAGGGATACATTGACGTGAGCAAAGTCACCATCGTCTGGATCTGACACAGAGATTCGAGCAACAAGCTGTCCAGGGGGGGCAGCCTCAGACACTCGGGGGGAGCCATCAGCACTCAGGAAGATGACAGTCATGGAGGGCTGATTGTCATTAGCATCTCGAACATGCACTGTCACAAAAGCTGAACCCAGCTCTGGGTGAGCCCCACCATCTCGTGCCTGTACCACCAGTTCATGGACTCGCCTTTGTTCAAAATCCAATGGGCGCTCCAGCCTCAGAAGCCCTGTGTGTGAATCAATGGAGAAGGGTCCATCGCCTTCACTCTGTCTCCTGTTGATCTCATAAGTCACGGCTCCATTGGCACCAGCATCAGCATCAGATGCAAACACTTGCAAGACAGGACTGCCAGGGGCCAGACTCTCAGATACAACAGCATGGTATCGGCTTTGATTGAAAGCTGGGGCATGGTCATTGATATCCAGCAGTGTTACATCCAGCAGGGCCTGAGCTCTCCGCGGGGGTGAGCCACCATCGTAGGCCTCTAGTTGCAACATGTAGTGTGAGCGGTTCTCTCGGTCCAGGTCTCCAACAACTACCAACTCAGGCACTGGAGCTCCATTAGGACCAGGACGTGTCTCCAGCCTGAATGTCTCTCCAGCCCCATCACCAGATAGTGCATACCCTTGGGTTCCTAGGCGGCCAGCATCTGCATCACGAGCAGGCTCCAGTGGGTAGCGTGTACCAAGAGCTGTATGTTCAGGTATCTGCAGGGCAGCCCGGGCCTGAGGGAAAGCTGGTGCATGGTCATTGATATCAGCCACGCGAACCGTAACTTCTACAGTGGCACCATCGGGAGTGACAGCAGTGAAGCGGTAACGGTCTCTCCTCTCACGGTCCAGGACACGGGCTGTACGGACCACCCCACTGTGCTCATCAATAGAGAGGTCTGTGACCACACCACTGCCTTCCTGGGCAGAGATGAAGTACATGGGAGGAGGTGCTGTGCCTGGTGGAAGCCCTGCACTGATGTCTCCAATCAGTGTGCCTGCTGGTTGTTCCTCATCTATCTGTAGGTCCAGGCTCCCAGCTTGACCCCAGGTTCCTGGCACTCTGGCCCCCAACAGCACCAGCAGTGGCAGCAGGAGAAGAGTCCTGAAACTCTTCATGCCAGGGCAGGAGAGTTCAACACCCAGCACGTTCTGCATGGCAGAGGCAGTCCAGCTGGAGCTCCAGCTCCAGACCAGACTCCTAGCCCAGCCTGATTTCAGGATTTGGATTAGATCCAACTTGGACTCTAGCTGCAGTTCAGGCTCTCTGACCTAAGAGAAAAGCAGAGGGAAAAAGGTCACTATAGGGGAAGGATTAAGAGGTCAGAGAGACTGGGAATCAGGCCACACCAAATCTCAGACATGCTCAGTAACAGCAGGGGCTGGAGCAGGAGCTCATCCACTTCTAGGCCTCCTTGGGAATCTGTACTTTGGGATTCCCCGGAGTCTCCTCCAGTGTGCCCCGTGGCAAGCGCCCAAACCTCATCCTTAAGCAGAGTATTCCATTTCCTATTTTTCAGGTCTGAATGCCTACAAACTTTCTTCTTCTATTTCTAAACTTAAAACAACCAGCCTTTTCTTATACTTTTTTTTTTTTTTCACCCAGGACTAATACCCCTTCTCTAGCCTCAATAGCCAGGTATGTGGTAACCATGTTTGAATTGTCCTTTCCTCTCTCCTCAACTTCTACCAATATTTAAACATCTGGTGTCCTTTAGCCCTACTTCACTCTCTAATTGACAAGAGATGAGTTCCTTTCCTCTCTCCTCAACTTCTACCAATATTTAAACATCTGGTGTCCTTTACTTCACTCTCTAATTGACAAGAGATGAGTTCTAACTACAAACAGTGAAAAAAGGAAACAGGTCCTGGTTTCATGGAGCTTATAACTAGGAGTTGCACAGTTAGTCACAAATGTGATAGGGTTATGAAGAAGTCTTGGAAGCAGAAGAGGATGTGAGGGGTTCAACAGAGTCCCAGGGAGCTATTCTAAGGAAGTAACATTCAGGTCAAAAGCCAAATGATTAGTAGGTGTTAGCTACACAATGGTGGGCAGATGTGAGAGATATAGAAGACTAGTTCTGGAGGTGTAAACAGAATTCAGAAGGGATTAGAGTCCACACTAGAAGAAGGGCGGAGAATGTTGGGGAATAGTTGGGACGCACTGTCTGTGATGTGTAATGCTGGTTCAGAGAGTATATAAAGGGCAGATATACTGAAGATTTTGACATTATCCTAAGTGCAAAAGGAAGCCATTTAAGCATTTCAACAAGTGCCACAATGATTTACACACACAACAAGGACATACAGATAGGGCAGAGAAGAGGGTTAGGGATGGCACTGTTTCCATGCTGATTTGGATACATGCCAGCAATAAAAATGAGGAGTGATGGGTAAGTGTGTGGGAAAGGGACTGGGGTAGAATGGGCAGGTCTTGAAGGCAGGGAATGAGGAAATAGAGATATCAAGAATGATGGGCAAATTTCTGGTGGAAATGACCAGTTGTACAAAGTGTCCTTAGGTGTCAGACACTGAGAAATAAAACCAGAGAGGGAAGTGCTCTGGGAACCATCTAAGGAAACAAGAGTTTCAGACATAGCTAAAGTTCAAGGAGAAGGAAGTCTTTTGGTGACTAGCATGAGCGGAATCAGTGGTGGGTGGAGCAGAGGCTGATGGGAGGCAGCTTTGGGAGGGAAGGAGGACAGTCACAAGTTGCCCCTCCCTGTCACTTGCCCTCTGTGTCACTGTCCACCTCCCTCACTCCATGCAGAGGCTTCCTTCTCTGTGACATCTCTCGCACTGAGCTAGTCATATCTTCCTCTTACTGGACCATTCTGCATCACTGACCACTAACTCCCTGAAGTCCACTCCTCCTGGCTTTACCACCGTTTCTGTCCACACTTTTCCCTGTCCACTCCTTAGCCTCCTTCAAAAGCTCTTTTCTGTCTAGCCCTTCAAAATCAGTGTCTTTCAGGACTCCATCCTAGGCCATCTTTTGCCATCCTCATAATCTGGCTGGACATCTTTCCCCACACTAACGCTTTTGACTCAACTGTATCAATCATTTTCATGTCTAATCTATTTGTCAGTAATTTCTGAATCTCCAGCTCTGGAAACACTGGATTTACCATATCCCTAGCCATCACCTCAGTCTGATTTTTCACCTCTATTTTCTTTCCTGTGAACAGCACCACCATCCATCCATGCCTCAAAGCCAGAAACCTAGAATCTCCCTTTGTGGTTTTTTTCTTGTTGTTGTTGTTTTTTGTTTTGTTTTTTGTTTTTGTTTTTTTTTTTGCTTATCTCCAATCTTAATTTCTGCATTGTTATTAAAACATGGTCACTTCACCTAGGGATGTATCAGTTCTAGCCTTTCTACACTGTTGCCATCCCAAGCTTAAGCACTGTCATCTCTCCTTTCCCTTCCTGCACAGCTCCTTTCTGATCTCCCTGCTCCTTGAAGGGAGACTTGAACCCTCTTCCGATCCATCCCCACCTCATCAGAGAGATCCACACACTTACCTAACCAGGTCTGTAAAGGGCTCTCACTGATCCCTCATTCCTGGCAGCAGGAAACTTCTGCCCCTCTACCTCAAAAGACCATGCAGACACATGTATGCACAGACTTGTGGCTGAGGTGTCAGGCACAGAATTTCTGACCCACATTGGAAAGTCCACTTTCCATTAGTGTCTTTGCAGTCTGAGCCTGACGATTTCACTTATGTACCCTACCTGTAGTTTCTACCACCACACTTTTTCATCCCCAAACTTTGTTAATATGCTCCTTCATTCTTTCTTGCTTTCTTGCTTTTTCTCTTCCTAAGATACCTCCTAAAAATCTTATCCATGTGGCCATTTATTATTAAAATTCCAAGATCCAGCTTAAACTTCTTATCTTCTGTGGACTCTTTTTTGACACACCAACCCCTGCCCCATACAATACTGCATGAAATCTGTTGGGCATCTACCACAAATAATAAGTCAGTCAACAGTTCTGAAGTATTCATGTGTCTGCTTCTGCACTGAACTGGAGGCTCCTGGAGGGTGGGCCAGGTCTCTGTTTTTTCAGGATTTAGTAGAGGTATAGCATGAGCAGGCAATTGGTGCCCTGCCCTGCCCGCACACACACACTCAGAGAAATGACTACAGATGTGTGACCTCAGATGACATACATGACTGTGGGAACCCATGACCCTGAGGTTCCATGGTCAATCCTGTGGCTAAAGAAGTTTGTCTTCTGGTCTTTATGGCTTTGCTCTTCTCTAGGACTTCCTAATCCCTGAGGATAGGTGTGTTTGTGACCTTATTTTACATTTGCAAGTCCCATCTGCATAAGACTATCAAAAGCAAGGGTCAGGTGTAGGGAGGCTGGAGAGATGGCTCTATGTGTAAAAGTACTTGTGGCTCAAGCACTACTCAAGCATGAGAGACTGAGTTCAGATTTCAGAACCCACATAAAAAACTTGAGAATCTACACATGTGTCTGTAAGTCCTGCACCATGTGGAGAGGAAGCAATAGTATCAATTGGGTTTGCTGGCCACTGACCTAGCTCCGGGTCCAGTGAGAGACCCTGTCTCAAAAGAACAAGAGGAAGAGTGACAGAGCATACAAAGACACATATGCCTAAACACACATATGCACATATACCAAACATACATACACACATTTTTTTTTAAAGAGTAAGACTTTGAATCCAATCTAAATGTTAATTTGCCTAATCTGTGAAATGGCTGGATCTAAGTGCAGAGACTGGTGAAGGGTTAAGGGTTGGTTCTATTCATTGCATCAGTCACTGGAGAGAGAGCAGTAAGTAGATCTTGGCGAGAGAAGGTCATGTACAATGAGGTTCATGTTCTTATCACACTTTGCACTGTAATTACTTGTCTTTCTACCCAATTTGTATAAGGGACTAAAGATTTTCTTACTCATATTTATATGGAACATGACCAAAGTACGTGATCAGCAAGTTTTCTGAATGAATGGATCAATAGTAGGAGATAATCTGATAAAGTAGGAGACATCTGATAAAGCTCAGATGAAATAGCCTTGCAGGGGAAGGATTCAGGCTCAGGTGGATCCCCTGTGTAAAAGCAGCCCCTTCTTCCAAACTACAGACTTCTATAACCTCTTCTTACCTAACATAGACTTCTGGCCACTGCAAACTGTCCTGGGGCACTCAAACACTGAATACACACAGGCTCACACAGAGCACAGGCCTCCACACATCCTATCACACTCAGAACTCTGATCTTTTCACAGTCAGCCTGCTTACACGTAGACAGGCATATTCAACGTGTACTTGTATACAGACTTACTTAACAGACAACCAGGTTACATACAGACACCCCTCGTCACCTGTATTCGGAAGCCTATTTTCAAATGTATTGTTATATTAATGCAGGCATACATAACTCACATACACAGAGGAAGCCACTTCTCTCACACCGAGACACATATACACCCTCAGAACACACACAGGCATACTTACACACGTAGCCTTCCCTGCCCAGGCAAGCCCACTCTCTACTTCATGCAGACTGACAAGGCAGGCACGCGCACACACACTTGCAGACCCACCCACACGCAGGCATGCTCTCACACATGCTGCCGGGGCACTCGTGGTCAACTCTGCGGCTGCAGCTGTGACCTCCAGGTCCCTGGGGCCTCTGTCTGGACTATGCCTCATCACTTCCTGCTCCACAGTTTCCAGTTCCAAACTCGAACTCCAGACTCCCTCCCGAGACCGTCTCATCCCTTCTCCAGCCTCTTCTCCGCACCATGCCTCCCATCTGTCCAGTGTTTCTGGCTGCCACTTTCCTAACACATGCTCCTCCTCCTGATTCTTGGTTGTTTCCTTCCCAGGTCTGTCCCATCCATCTTGCCTCTTTCCCCAATCTGTTCTGCCTCCTGTCGAGCTCTGCCACATCTCTTCTTCCACCCAGTGCTGCCTTACCACATGCCCTCACTTTGTCCTCAGTCCTGTTACTTGGTCCTGACTCCATCCCACTCTCCCCCTCTATCCCCACATCTGGGCCTCTGGAACCACAGCTGGTTCTCATTAAGAGGGGGAGGGGCAAGACTGTTCATTGGGGCCTGAAACGTGATGTCAATTCCCCCCCTAGCTAACAGAGCCCCCCTTCCTGTCCCCAGCTTGTATGTCTACAGGGCTGGATTCAACCAGAAACATGGGAGAGGAAAGAAAGGTGGGCTATGGGGAGGA